GAGATGGTTCAGTTGACTCCAAGGGGAACCCTGCTCTCAAAAATAATACCGGACAGTGGAAAGCGTGCTCCTTCATTCTCGGTGACATGCTGTCTTTGACATTTGCTCTCATGTGTCCGATAATCTGTTCTTTTCGTAATAGTTGTAGTGTGTGTATATATGCAATGCAGGTACGTTCTTTTGTGAACGGTTGGCCTTCTATGGGATTTCGACCAATCTTGTCAACTATTTCATCGACAAACTGCACGAAGAAACTGTCGTTGCTTCAACGAGTATCACTAATTGGAAAGGAACTTGCTACATTACACCCCTCATCGGGGCAATCTTAGCCGATACCTATTGGGGAAGATATTGGACAATTGCCGGTTTCACTACAGTCTACTTAATTGTAAATACTAGAAGTGATTTCGTTTTTTTTTTTTTTAAACATGAAAGTTCATGCATCGATTTTCCTCACTTGTTGAATGATTGTGATTTCGTGTAGGGAATGTGTACTCTGACTCTCTCAGCATCAGTTCCAGCACTTAAACCTGCTGAATGTGTTGGTTCCGTATGCCCTGCAGCTACTACTGCACAGTATGCAGTGCTGATTGCTGGACTATATCTGATTGCGTTAGGGACAGGTGGGATCAAACCTTGTATATGGCCATTTGGGGCAGACCAGTTTGATGATACCGATCCCAAGGAAAGAGTGAAGAAGGGGTCGTATTTCAACTGGTTTTACTTTTCTCAAAACATTGGTGCTGTTATAGCAAGCAGTTTACTGGTGTGGATTCAGGAAAATGTTGGGTGGGGTATTGGATTTGGAATTCCTACAGCGCTTATGGGCGTTTGTATTGCAAGTTTATTGATTGGCACACCTCTATACCGATTTCAGAAACCAGGCGGAAGCCCTCTAACAAGAATATTCCAGGTTTTGGTTGCAGCATTCCGTAAAAGGAATGTGAAGGTGCTCGGGGACAGTGTTCTCTATGAAACACAAGATAAAAGTTCTGCCATTGAAGGGAGCCGTAAACTGGATCACAGCAATGAACTGAGGTAGTCCTCTTCTCTTTAATTTTCCAGGATTCGGTTGCATATTTCACGAAACATTGCTTCTGGAATACACGGTGCTTTTAATCTACCATGTCTTTGCTGCAGGTGCCTTGATAAAGCTGCTTTGATCACAAACACCGAGATTGCATATGGCAACTTCTCCGATCCGTGGAGGCTCTGTACCGTTACACAGGTAGAGGAACTGAAGATTTTGGTCCGCATGTTTCCTATCTGGGCCACAGGAATTGTGTTTTCTGCTGTGTTTGCCCAAATGTCAACACTATTTGTGGTACAAGGGAAGCTAATGGATAGAACCGTGGGTTCTGTCACCATTCCTGCGGCCTCTCTCTCATTTTTTGATTTCGTAAGTGTCATCATCTGGGTCCCCATCTACGATAGGGTAATCACCCCAATCGCTAAAAGGTATACACACAAGGAGAGGGGCTTTTCGCAGCTGCAACGGATGGGAATTGGGCTGTTCGTGTCCATTCTATGCATGGCAGCTGCTGCATTGTTAGAGATTAAGCGATTGCAGCTTGCCAGGGAGCTCGGTTTGATCCACCAAAAGGTTGCTGTTCCACTGAGTATACTTTGGCAAATTCCCCAGTACTTTTTGTTAGGCGCCGCAGAGGTCTTCACGTTCATTGGACAACACGAGTTCTACTACGAGCAAGCACCAGACGCGATGAGGAGTTTGTGCAGCGCCTTGTCGCTGCTGACGAATTCATTGGGAAATTACCTCAGCTCATTGATTCTGACGATCGTAACATCCATCACAACCGAGGGCGGGAAGGCCGGATGGATTCCGGATAACTTGAACGAGGGCCATCTCGATTACTTCTACTGGCTTCTAGCCGGACTCAGCTTCTTAAATTTGGTGGTGTACATGGTGTTTTCCCGAAAGTACATAGAGAAGAAGGCTTCTGCTGCCGCCTAAGATGTTCTTCTTCGACAAGGCATTGTTTTCCAATTGGTATACATAGATCGAAGTTTGATTTGAAACATGTTTCCAAGATGCTGCTATTTCCACAATTATATGGGAATGGGTCCGTGAAACTACTTTTTTATTCTCAAATTTTTCACACGTTTATGTGGGTGATCAATTCGTAATATATTTCAACAATCCGAACCGTTTACATTTGAGGTATTCTTTCAAAAATCATGTTTTGCCAAAAATCACCAAATTTTGAAAACTACGTGACCGTTGGATTAAAAGGTTAGCGTTTATTTGTAGCATCGTAGTGTCGGGAATTAATGTCTATCGTACGCGATCTCAAAGAGAAAAATCTATCATACATGATCTTAACCTTGCTTTGCAAATAGATTGTTTCCACGGTTTGAACCAGTGACATTTTAATCACAAAAAAATAATATTTTCGTTGCACTAAGGCTCGCCCACTTTACTACAAATGATGATTATGTGCATATAATTTGATACAAATATATTTCGTAACGCCAAGCTTGGGCCTAAATTTCTGATTCCCAAAATCCACCGACTCACGCCCCGTTTTCTCAACCCGAATTGGCGTTAACCTAAATCATTCTTCCAAAACTCTCGTCTGAATCTGCCTCTCTGCCTTCGCCATCCCTACTCCTTCGAAACCCTAATTCTCCGTCGATTCCTTCCTTCTCCGACTCCGACGATGAGGCCGATCCTGATGAAAGGGCACGAAAGGCCCTTGACTTTCCTCAAATACAACAGGGACGGCGACCTCCTCTTCTCCTGCGCCAAGGACCACAACCCCACCGTCTGGTTCGCCGACAACGGCGAGCGCCTCGGTACCTACCGCGGACACAACGGCGCTGTCTGGTGCTGCGATGTGTCCAGAGACTCCGCCCGCCTCATTACCGGCAGCGCCGATCAGACCGCCAAGCTCTGGAACGTTCAGACCGGTCAGCAGCTTTTCACCTTCAATTTTGACTCGCCGGCGAGGGCTGTCGACTTCTCCGTCGGCGATAAACTCGCCGTCATCACCACCGACCCCTTCATGGACGTTACGTCGGCGATTCACGTCAAGCGCATCGCCAGTGACCCCGAAGATCGTAAGCTTCTTTGATTTTCCCTCTCCTTTTGTATTGCTTTTGGGTTTATCTAAAATTGGATGTGGAATAATCGGCGGATTCAAACTTTCAGAGGTTGGGGAATCGGCTCTGATACTCAAGGGACCTCAGGGAAGAATTAACAGAGCTGTTTGGGGCCCTCTGAATAGAACCATCATAAGCGCTGGAGAAGACGCAGTTATTCGCATTTGGGATTCTGAGGCGAGTGTACATTGTACATTGGCTCGCCGTGACGTTTTTCAATACTTGCATTGGAAATTTTAAAGCTTTTTCTTTAATTTGATTGGCTCTAAGTGTTTTCGATTAACTTGCAGACTGGTAAGCTACTTAAGGAGAATGATCCGGAAGTGGGTCACAAAAAGACCATAACTTCACTTGCAAAATCTGTAGATGGTTCCCATTTCCTCACCGGTTCGCTAGATAAATCTGCCAAGGTAATGCATCTCATAATCTTCCTACTTTGTTAACAGAGTTGTATATAGGTTTCATATTTTTACTGAGTTTTGTGTTGCATATGTTTTAGCTGTGGGATACTAGAACGTTGACTCTTATCAAGACCTACGTGACAGAGCGTCCAGTCAATGCCGTTGCAATGTCTCCTCTTTGTGATCATGTATGTAACTGCAATCTCAATTTTTTTTTCCATTATCTTGCATGTTTCCAAAATGTTGTCTTTTCGGTATTTCATTTACTAAAACCCGTCTCATTTGCATCCCAACTTGTTTTGAGTCAATAATTTGCTGACATACTAAGATAAAAGTGGAGTTATTACAAATATGATTAAATGCTTTCTATCCTTCACATACACGTACTGAATAGTTTGTGTGTTAGTTGCTAGTTTTGACTTTGGTGAATGATGATACGTACTAAAGACACTTATTCCTTTGTATCTCGTATATATGCACTATTTTCCTGGTTCATTATAAAAGTATTATTATATGAAAACAAAATTCCTTGTGAGCTATCCAGGTGGTACTCGGCGGTGGTCAAGATGCATCAATGGTCACCACAACTGATCATCGTTCTGGGAAATTTGAAGCCAAATTCTATGACAAGGTAAACCACACTTCTTTTTTTGTCTTTAGCATGAAGGTTCTTGGTTGTTGTCTCTTCAGTAAGTGATTTTTTATTTTTATTTTTAATTTTGATATACATAGATTCTTCAAGAAGAGATTGGAGGTGTTAAAGGACATTTTGGACCTATAAATGCTTTGGCGTTTAATCCCGATGGAAAAAGGTATAGTTAGTTCGTTCTCTTAACTACTTCTGTTGGTTTCATGATTTGTAAATGCATAATGAACAAACTCTTCTTAACTAGAGTTGGATTTGATTACCATTAGAGACTTTTTGCTACATAGTTTAAGAATTCCTCATTACCTTTGTCTGTGCAATATTGATTTTGCTAATGTTGATCGATACCATTTTTCATGCTTATTGCGATATATTTTTACATGAACAATTTGTTTAGCTAGAAGATCTAATTTAGTTTTAAATCGAGATGAAATCATGCATAAACATTACACATCTTATTTACTTAAGTTGGTAATAATGGTATCCTTGTTTCTCAATTGATGATGGATCTGTTATTATCGGCTTGTATGAATTGAGGGAATTTTCCTGCAAAAAAAAGGAATTTCATGTTGCGTTTTTGAGGTTATCTTAATATTTGGGGTTTTTGTTTATTTTTTAACAGTTTCTCAAGCGGAGGTGAGGATGGTTACGTACGTCTACATCACTTTGATTCTGATTACTTCAACATCAAGATTTAGATCTGCAGCTTGATATTAACTCTCGCCTTGGAGGTTCGGGAAAGGCTACTTCTCCTTCCCAAACCGACCGCGTTGAGCATTTACTTTTGTAGTTCTGGGATTGTGATTCAACAAACCATGTTCTGTGTTTACTGCTTGTCGTTGGAAGGAAAACAGTTTTGTAGAAGATTTATAGATGATATAATCACATTCATCCATCTGGTTGTCCCAATAACTTTTTATTTAGAATTTGACTTGTAATTTTATAATCCGTCGTCGAATTACGCTGTATCCTTATCTCTATTCTGGTAGATGAAGCTCATGGTACTTACAGCAGAAGTATATCCCCCATCAAGAACGAGATTATGTCCGGTTATAAACCCGGCGTCTTCGCTGGCCATGAACAATGCAGCTTCTGCAACATCCTCCACAGTCGCCCATCTACCACGCAACGAGCTCCCCCTCTCTCCCACAATTCTGCCTACATCTTCTGCTGTCATGTCCATTTTCCCGAGATGCCATCTGTAGGAATCGACGAGCATCTCCGAAGGAACCCCGTGAGGTGAAATGTTGTTCACGCGAATGCCATGCACTCCCAGCTCGCACGCGGCACTTCTTGCCAATCCGTTGATGGCCGCCTTTGACAATGTGTAGGCATGTCCTCCAAGGCCTCCCATGATACCGGCCGAGCTCGATGTGCAAATGATGCTCCCTCCTCTTCGACCGTTGATCATGGCCGCTGCAGCGTACTTGATTCCATGCACAGCCCCGAGAACATTGACTGAGAGAAGGTGCATCACCTGCTTCATGTCGAGGGTGGTTATGCTCCCCGGGGGACCGGGAACACCGGCATTGTTGATCATGATGTCAAGTCGGCCTTTCCATTTGAGTGCAAGCTCGACAGCTGATTCAACATCAGCTTCCTTTGACACATCACAGTGTATGTAGCGGCCGCCAATAGAATCAGCCAGTGTAGCGCCTAACTCGTCGAGTATATCAGCAACGACGACGTGCGCTCCGTGTTGAGCGAGTAGCTTGGCTGTGGCAGCTCCAATCCCTCTTGCACCCCCAGTTACGACTGCAACTTTGTTCGCCAACCTAACCAAACTAGAGCACATAAAAACCACATATATACGAACAAACATAGAATCACTAGGAGTTTCGGCGAAGGTTTACAACCAACCTCTTTGAAGGCGGCCTCTGCGCTTCGTCTTCATCGTGCATCGGAATAGATGGCTCCATATTTTCAGTCAATTCGATTGAGTTTTTGACGGGTATATAATGCAACTTCAGATTGGTGTAGAAGCTAAACAAGTTGAGCATTGCTCTTTACAAGTTTTGGTTATTCAATCCATGCACACTTTCCATTCCTTACAACTACTTCCAACCCATAAGAGTCCGGTGGCTTACTTTTTTACTTTTCTTTCTTCGTTTTGGGACAACCATTTCACTTTTCGGTTTGAATTTTCACTTTGGTTATGAGCCTCCCCAAACTTTAAGGAATGTCAATGCTCCTCCCATCGGTAGTTCTGTCGAGTAATCCATCCGATTAGGGGTATTTTTGTCCATTTCTTACAGTACAAGCTTTTAAATTTGATGATGTGTGTTAAGTTTCAATTTCTCTTAATTTGTCTTACAGTACAAGCTTTTTGTCATGTGAAATTTAAAACGAGACATTTAGGGGATGCTAAATTTTTCTTAAATTGTCTCTTGGCAATGGGCTTGATCTGGGCCTCACAGCCCAATGTACCAGAAAACTTCTCGATTTCTCTTCAATGACTGAAAAAAAAAACAAAAAAACAGAACGGAAACCAGCAAGAACGAGAGGTATTTGTTATGGTGGATTATGGTTAACTAATATACAAATCCGCAACTCTGAAACGACCTTGAACACTCCGACACCGAAAGCCGTCGTGGACCGCCGAAGCCATCACCATCACAGCGCAGCCGGAACCAAAAGGGGCTGAATATTTCAAAGCAATGGCAGCTGAGGGAACGTCGAAGAAGATGATGGCAACGCAGGCGGAGATGGTGGAGAATCGGGTGCCGATTCCGTACAGAGACCAGTGCGCCCACTTGCTGATCCCTCTGAACAAGTGCAGGCAGGCGGAGTTCTACCTCCCATGGAAGTGCGAGAACGAACGCCACACCTACGAGAAGTGCGAGTACGAGCTCGTCATGGAGAGGATGCTCGCGATGCAGAAGATCCGCGAGGAGGAGGCCAAGTTGAAGCAGGGAAATAAGAAGGGGCAGCCGATTCCTCTCATTCCCAACACCGCCAACGCTTAGAACCCACCATCCGTTATTGGGTAATTCACCAATTCATTGTTTTGCTTCTTCTATTTCTTGTTTTTGGCATTTTAATTTCAACTTTTGGTTCTTTTATTGATGGGTTTGTTGTTAATTGCTCAGTATTGTGTGTTTTTGGGCTGCTATTGTGGAATTTTTCGGGTCGATTATGGAACCTAGGGTTTGTGTTGAATTGGACTCAATGTAGTTTCTAAGAGAAATATGGGGTCTTGTATTTAGGATTTCTTCACTCATGGGTTCAAGCTTGAAGAAAGATTTGGGTGGAGGGGTAGAAATTTGGGATTAAACATCAGCTAGTATCAGCTTGGGAATTTAACCAATGTTCAATTTTTAAGATTGTGTTAGCTCAGTCATATAAAAATCAATGATTTGGATCACCCTCTAATGAATGAAAAAAACATTATCGGCTTTGAAATCGGCATCTTTATCTAGTTAGTGGATTTTCCTTTTAGATCCTTTAAGGAGTCTTGGTAGTGTAGTGTGAATTATGTTGGTGTGCCGTTTTTTGATGGTTGTATATAATGCACTTGCTTTGTACTATAGCAAGCTTACATATAGCCTGAACATGCAGCAGCTATGTTTTCACATGAACATGTACAATTGTATTTTCATTTTAGAGAAGCCAATTGAAGACAAATCTGGGAGGATATGTATAAACTGGTCGGCGGGATTTATTTGTGTGTGAGATGTCCTTTTGCTTTTCTTCTTGTCTGGTAAAGTAATTTATACAATGGAGCATTCAGCAGTGAAATTCTTCTAGTTGGTTAGTGAATTGAATGCCATGTTATGGAAAATTCAAGAGTCCCAAGTTTCTTTGTGTCATGTTAGTATGTGGCTGTTTGTCGGTCAATATTTGCAGATTTCAATAGAAGGATAATATTACAATTATTTTGACTCTAGAATTGGTTTTATTAGCATATCAGCATATCCTATCGCCAAGTGACTTAGGAATTTTGAATTACTTGCTAATTTATTAGAAAGTTCATAGGGTTGGTCACATATAGCGGGACTTTGAATGTGCCACCATTAGGTTAAAAGCCCAATGCTCTACCAACTGAGTTATAATCTCTGAGATACAACCTGTACTTTTGAATGTACACCTTCTGTACCCCAAGACAACAGAGCCGTCACACACCCTGCGTCTCAGGGGGAACCAGAAAACGCCTTTCGTTTTCTCCTCCTTTTTGGTCCTTGCCACCTTCCTTGGTTTACCTCAGAGGAAAGGGCTGATAGGCAGGCTGCTTAAGGATTGGGGAGGAAATATAGGGCGAGGTCATTTCAGATAGTTCTACGATGTGGGGGCATTTCAAGTTCACTAGCACTCCAAGAGGCTTCTTTGTCATTCTAAATCCCATTTAAGTGGGATTTTTAAAGGGGAGCACAACTCAAACTACCGATCAAATGCAAGCGAGAAGATGAGCAACTATCTAGCTCGTTCTCATAGTTGGACATGGAAGAGAGATTTTTCTGGCATATATATCTGGCAGCCCACATTCATGTATATCCTGCATCACACACTCCCTCTTCTCTCTGTTTTTCCAGCGAAGTAAAACAAGTATCTCGACTAATATTTATGCACCCAAACCTAGGAAACCAAAAATTTCAAAATCTCAATCATTTTGATTCATTCAGCCAAATAAAAACGTGTCGCCTTGATACATTTCAATCTTTCCCTCTTTGGATAAAAGAAACAGAAAGTGCTCATGGAAAAGTTTCAGATAAAGTAGTTTATGAATGTATTATCATTTCTAAGTACATACATTTGTGCACTCAAATATGCAAGTATGCACACAGTCGTAACCCGATCACAATTGAAAGTCGAGAGTAAAGACTTTCAAACAATACACTTACCCAGTTTCTGTTGCTGCTTTCGGCAACCGATGATCACATGGCCGGAAGCCTTATTTTTCAGTCTTACTTTCGTTAGTTCAATATACTGGGTCTGCCTACTTACTCTTGGCTAAATTTTTTACAGGAAGCATAAATTTGTGAGGTGTGGATGTTTTGATGCTTCTTACCGCAACTGATGAGAAATTTCTCGGGACTCTTTTGTACCGAGACAAATGTTATAGACTCGGTCCTTTCGCTTTCTCAGTTGTGCAACCAGTTTCATAGTATTCAAATAAATTTAGTCCCGCATTGCTTGACATTTGTATTCTGATTTTCCGAAACGGTAATTGCATGTTCTTGCTCTTTTACTGTATTGGATCGGTTAGAAAATGCATGGTAAAACTCTACGCTTCAACTCTTTTTTTTGCTTTTTGGGCGCACATTCTCTTCCACTTTGGATCAAATTCAGTTATACTGGATACTAAGGAAGTCTTAGGAAGCCTGTGCTTAACTGGGATGCAATTGGGCTGGCCTCATTGAACCTTTGGAAAGCCCTCCACCGTAGAGGAGATAGGTTTCGGCCTTACAACCCCCTGTATCTTGAGTTCAAAACTTTTTTTTTTCGCTTTATTTGATAAATATTTTGTTTTTAGTTTTAGTTTTTTATTTTTTTAATTTTTAATTTTTTATAAATTGAAAGGCAAAACTTTGAAACTCAAAATAGTAGTTTTTCGTTTTAAGAGAAATGCTAAATAGATTATCTCAAAAGTGGGATTTTCATAGACTTTTTGTCATTTCATGTTTTTTTGCACAATGTTTTACAATGTTGGTATGATAATTAACGTTAAACTGTGAGGTGATAGAGAGTCCCTAAAGAGTCTTATTTTGAGAGAGGTAACGTGTGGGAGATCAAAATTTTAAAATAAATTTGCAAACCAAATGATATGTCACCAATAAAAATTAAACACGTTAATCAACGCATAAGTATAATCAAATCATCAATAAGCATATCATTTGATTTAAAAAGAGTAATGTTATTCATACCATATTTTTATACCACATTTATATACCACCTTAGGTAGCATCTGATGTGGACAATCACATCATTTGAAAAATTTGCAAAACCCAAGAAAAGGAAGGAGAAAGACTCTTATACCACAATCATCATTTAATTAATTGGTTTTTCTTAATTATTAGTTTATTAAATAATGAACTAAATTTAAAAATCTGATTAATTCAAATAATGTAGCTATCCACATTAAATGGCATCTAAGATGATATGAAAATATGGTACAAAAAAAAATATGGTATGAATGGCATTAGTCTCCCTGGTATTATCTTTCGGATAGAGTCTCTTTAACATTATTAATTTTTTTTAAGTTAGTAAACGGCCCTTAGACATCGCACTTTTATTTGGACTTTGGTAGAATTGAGAGAATAAAATAATAATGATCCAAATTGGAAATTGATTGCAAAGTGTGTATAAATCCATGACGACATTCACAGATGGCGTGGAAGTGAAGCATTTTGAACGTGGCAGCTATTGATGAGCGATGATGTCCCTTGCATGGCAGCTTACGTGCATGAGAGGATAGTTCTAGGTCTTGGAAACAGCCAATCGCATGTTTAGTAAAAGCAAATTACGATCAATTTGCGGTTTCATTTGTAACATTCAAAATTCAACCACCTAATTCCAATATCCCGTGGGCCCAACATCTTTATTCATCACATATTCCCTAGATTTTGACCATGCACATGTCATATATAAATAAATAAATATATATATATATATATATATATATATATGTGTGTGTGTAGAGAGAGAGAGAGAGAGAGAGAGAAACAAGGATCAAAGGTAATGTCCAACCAACAAAGCAAAATTATGATATAAAGGAATGGAGATCTTATTCCAAAAGTTGTTGGCAAGACAGTCTAGTCTTCTCATCGATCTAGCTGTTTGTACGCATGTGCGTAATGCTGATCATATACTATGATATGTGTAGCTGCTATATTTGAATTTTGACTCACATATGCATCTTTGATGTAGAATAGATGTTGGAATGGATCAAAGAACAATTTGATAAGTGTGTCATTGTAAGTTTTAGTTTCGGTGTCTAATTTGAGTTCACGATCCATACAACATAAGAGATTCGGCCCCTTTTCTTACTTAAGATGGTTTGCTTGTTCGGT